ACCACCTCTGTCGACTTCGACGACAGCTTCGTCGAGCAGGGTTGAAGGTTGGTGCAGAGGACGCGGCCGGTATAGCGTGCTCGACCGAGCACCTCCCCGGTCGCGTTGACGAGCATCATCTCGTCGCCCTCGTCCTGCAGCTGCACACCATTCTCCTTCAGCTGGCCGGCTGACAGCAGGTTCGCCTGCACGCCCGGGACGTAGAGGACGTCGGGGATGAGGACCTGCTTCCCGGCCTCCCCTTGCAGAGCGACGGTGCCTCGGCCCTCGACGGTCTGCAGAGCCCCGTTGAAGCCACGCACATGCTTCACATTGCCGCTCGGCGCCATGTCGACAAAGGCATCCTTCGTCCCCATGAGGTGGTGCGAGCAACCGCTGTCGAGCAGAACCACCATCGGATTCGCCTGCACAGCTGCAGCGTCCGCTTTGAAGTCTTCGCCGGCCTCTGGCGCCAGCGAAACAGTCTGCTCCACCACGCCGACCATGGAGCACGAAGCCTCTCCGTCACCTTGCCCCTTTCCGCTGGAGGAGTCGACCTCCTTCGTCGACGACGTCTTCTTCAACGTCTGCTTCTCCTTGCGCGGCTTCTCGTCCCGACTTTGACGACTGTTGGCCGACCTTCCGCGGCCACCCTTGTGTTCATCGTCGTCAGTGTCTTCTCGGTCAGGGCAGTCATAGGAGAGATGGTCGGCGCTTCCGCAGACTCAGCACTCGCGCCGTCGACCACCGTTGCCGCGACCACTGTCACGAGATGATTTCGCCCAGTCGGCGTCCTTCGCCGGCCTCCCACCTCCGCTACCACCTCCGCCAGACTTTCCGCGCTGCCCCTGCTGACGATTCTGCTTCGTCGGTGCAGCGTAATTCGCCTGCGGAAGGAGCTCCGTGGGCTGTTCTGCCTCCTGCATAGCCTCATCTTGAAGGATGTAGCTGGTGATGGAGTCGTCGTCGAGGGACTCACGCGTGCCGGGCACCATCATCATCCTCTTCATGAGGTTGTAGCTCCGCGGCAGGCCCTTGACGACGTGGGTGATGTAGGACGCTGTTGAGTATTCGGCGCCCGCCATCCGCATTTCAGCCAGGATCCGTCAAGCACGGTTGCAGTAGTCCGTCGCCGACTCCTGCTCACCCATCCGAATGTGTGTCATCTGCTCCTCCAGCTGTCCGATGTACAGGTCGTCCTTCGCCTGGTACGTCGACAGGATGAAGTGCCATGCTTGGTGACCAGCATCCAGCCGCTCTCGACAGGACCTGAGCGACAGCTCCACCACTGGCGAGCAGCACCTCGAGATGACCATGAAGGTGAGCAAGTGAGCAGCACGAAACTCCCCGCGCAGCTCGACATCGTCCTCGTGCGGAATTGGCACAATGCCGTCGGCAAAGCCCTTCAGCCCGGCAACCTCCAGCTGTGGTTCTATCGACTCCCTCCAGGTGATGAGGTCCCGTCGACCCTGCAGCGGTGCGACGGTGATCTTGTCCGGCGAGAACTTGAAGTAGCCATATGTCGGCGCGATCCCGCTCGCCGTCACGTGCGTCGTCGCCGAGGGACTTCCACTGCTTCGCTGGGGAGAGCAGCCCGCGGCCGCCGTCGACCGCTGCACTCGCGCCAGGTTCCTGCCGACGCCATCGTCGGCGGACCTGATTACTCCTATCTTCCTCGTTCCCTCGCTGCCGCCGACTTGGTTACTGCCGTCGACCTCCTCGTCGACACCTCCTGCGTTGCGTACCGGTCGAGGAGATGCAGCTCAGGAAGGATGTTCCGTCGCCCACTGCGCACGGATCCCCAGGAGAACCACCTCCAAGGGGAGCACCGGCCCGAACTCGCCATCTCCATGGCGTCTCGTTGCATCAGCCAAACGTGCCTCCAAGGTGTCCTCTACCGCACTGGCCGCTGCCAGGGTAGGCGTCATGGTTTGTACGGGCTGCCGGCCTACGAACGACTTAGGTAAGTGATACGTCGGCTACTAATCTGAAGGTATCCTTGTGGGGCCGTCCACGCTCACCGCACCATGCGGAGATAAACTCTACAACGGTGGGAGCTAGACTACGGGGTTGGCACGAGTTGTCAGAGTGATCGTAGCTTTGGCTGTGTTCTCTAAGACTTGTGTTTTCACAGGGCAAAACAGCAAGAGTTTTACTAAGGAATGTTGAGAATACAGAGTTCAGAATGAGAACAAGCAATGGCAAAGATTGACTACATCACATGCAAGGTTTGCTAGTGCTCAGGCAGGTTGACTGCCAGCGTGACAGAGTTGTCGACCTGCCAACGCAGCACCTCCGCGACCCGCCAACACAGCTTGTGTGCGACTTGCCAACGCTGCAGATGGCGGCCTGCCAACGCTGCACCCGCGCGGCTTGCCAATGCTGCATCCGCGCGGCTTGCCAGCACTGCATCCGCAGGTGATTGTAAGCGCATGTGCAAGCACCTACTTTGCAGGTGCTTGTAGACAGTTATGCACGACATGCACTGTCGCACACATTGTGCAGGTTGTCAGCCACATGCTGACGGTTGCACCTGATGAGCCACGTCGACCACGTGCTGCCACGTCGGTCGACTTCGCCACAGCAACCTCGACGACGTTCGCGACCCTCCTCTGAACCTCGTCGAGCAGGTAACTCGGTCGACCAGGTAAAGCCCTTGACAACCCTGCAGGATGATGACCTTCGTCATCACCAGTTGACGACCTTCGTCGTCGCGGGTCGACGACCTTCGTCGGCCACCTTCGTCGAACACCTCGGTCGACATTTCAAAATGTCAGCTCCTCATTGGTCGAAATTAGGGCACATTCGAATTTCTGACCAAAATTCGCCTGTGCAGTCTCAAGGGTGCGCAGGGTCAGACGCGACCCTGCGCAGACGAACACCCGCGAACCTCTGCACGAGCTGCACCACTTGTACATGTGCACGAGACACCTGTGTTGCACTCGCGGATGCTTCAGTTACTCTTGCATGGATTCCCTAGTACACCTCATGTACAGGCAACCCTTGTACACCTGGAGAAGGTCGGCTGCACCTCCCGCACACCCGACCACGAAGTCAGTTTTGCCCATGCGAGGGCGGGGCCAACTTCCTTCAACAGGTTTTGCCAGCGGTGCACCGTCGAACACGTGATCCGTTCCTCAGGTCGACTTCGCGAAAACCTCCTGAGCGACATTCGCCCAGGCGTCGAATTTCGCAGTCGAGCAACTTGCGTCGATGAGCTCGACGAAGCTCCGTCGAACACCTTTCGCCGAGAGGAGCACGTCGGGCAGAGCCCGTCGACCAGCACCTCTCTACGGGCTCGTCGACTAGCGTCCTCTGCCGGCGATGTCGACCGCATCCGGTCGAGCAAGGTCTACTCGACCAACTCCTCCGCAGAACCTTGTCGACCAGACAACTTCGTCGACTTTTGCGGGCGGTCGACGCCGACTTCTACGAGCGGTCGACGTCGCCTTCTGCGAACGGGCGACGCCGACTTCTGCGGGAGGTCGACGTCGACTTCTGCGGGCAGTCGACGTCGACTTCTGCGGGTAGTCGGCTGCACTTTCCGCGCACCCGACTACGAAGTCGGCTTCGCCCAAAGCGAGGGCGGGGCCATTCCCTAACACAACCCCAACTTTTGGACTCGCACGTTCGGCCGACATCAACATTACCGAGGCTGCCTCGCGTCGCCTTCGGTTTTCCCTTGCCCAACCTCGCGTTCCCGAGGTTCCTGCCTAGCCAGGGTAGCCGATATATTATGCCGCATCGTTCATTGTATCGTCAGTCCATATTGTCACAGCTTCGTAGTTCGTTTTCCATAACAGTGATGCGGCAACGTTAAATGTGACATTCATCATGCTAATTCAGAACATATTCAAAACGTTTTTGTATCACCTAGGTTCTGAAGGTTCCTTCGTTTGGTAGCGGGTGCAACAATATCGTCGAGTGAACTGGCCGCCGTCGCGTTTCCACCAGCCAATTAGCGGCGGAGGCGCCTTGAGCAAGCACGACCTGTACTTGTGGGCGAACGAAAATGCACGAAACCAGAGCGGAGGGTGGGACAACATTTGGAAGGTGGTTACCCGGTCATTGAGCTGCGATGAGGGAGGGGTGAATAGGAGGCTAATTTGTTGCGCAGTTTGAGGCATAAGTTGGTCTGCCGAGTCGCATAGGCGTCTACTTTGTGGTACTAGCTTGTTATTCATGCTTTAGTTGAGAGGAATCTTTGTACGAAACCTAATGTGCAGCTTAATCCCGCTAATATATGTTCCGGTTCTGACGCTGAGATGACGCTGACGTCACACGTTCAGCATATCATTATGATGGCGCTAGTGCTTGACTTAATATTGCGTCATTTCTGTTACAGAGTACGTACGTACGTAATAGCTTGAAGCATTCTGTTTCAGCATTTCTTAGGGATTGATGCGGTCGCCGTTAGTATCAAACAGCAGTACAACTGTAGAGTGGTCGCGCGACAGTCTACCGAGAAGGCAACAGCATGGGTGCCAGGGTACTAGTCACTCGTCGATAGCATCGCTGCGTCCTTTCGCTTCGCTTCGCAAACGTCGCAGCACTCGTCGCAGCACCGAGAAAGGGAACATCATGGGTGCAAGCATAGTAGTCACTAGTCGATAAGATCATCGCCGCGTCTTCCGCGTACTAGCTTCCCCTCGCTTCGCTCCTCTTCGCAACCGTCGTCGCAGCAGTCGCCGACTTCCGCCCCCTCTGCGACGACTCGCACGTGCTAGTTACAGCCAAACAGCCTTACGCGGCGCCATGACGGGGCGACTACTACTGACGGACCGTCTACTGGCCGGCCGTCTACTGACGGGCCGTCAACTGCCCAGCCGAACGATTCCGCCTCTCGCGCTGCCGTTGCTGCTGCTTCTCGTGTTGCTGTCGCCCCATTCCCTCGAAACGCGATTCGACGGCGTGCAAAGCGCGGCCGCGGCGCCTTTCAGTGTGACCGACTCTTACGCCCCGGCCTGCGGGCCGCTACCGCGCAAAGAGCCCAAAGGTGCGTCTGAGGCAAAGCATGCACGATGCGCCCCTCAAAAGCCAACGCCTTTCAGCGTGATGGACTCCTACGCCCCGGCCTGCGGGCCCTTACCGCACAAAGAGCCCAGAGGTGCGCCCAGAGGTGCGCCCTGAGGTGAGCCCAGAGGTGCGTCTTGCAAAGGGTTGAAAGGGTTCGAACCACATCAGGGAACCCAGAAATGTCCGCTCCTCCTTCTCCCTCTTCTTTCCCTTCCTTTTCCCTACCACCCCCACCTTTCACCCTCCCCCATCCATCCCCACCTCCCCTTCTTCCCGCTCCGCCCTCCAGCCTGGCAGCTCTGAAGCCGAGCAGACCCTTCCCCCCTTCCCCCATTCCCCCATTCCCCCCTTCCCCCATTCCCCCCTTCCCCCATTCCCCCCTTCCCCCATTCCCCCATTCCCCCCTTCCCCCATTCCCCCCTTCCCCCATTCCCCCCTTCCCCCATTCCCCCCTTCCCCCATTCCCCCCTTCCCCCCTTCCCTCCGCCCTTCAGCTCCTCGCTTTCCACCCCTTTCCCTTCCCTTCCCCCCTCACCCCCTTCCTCTTCCCCCCCTCCCCCCCTCCCCTCCTCTTCCCTTCCCCCCTCCTTTTGCACTCCCTCTTTGCAGCTCTGGAGCCGCAAGCCCCCCACCGTTCAGCTTACCCCCCCTTCCCCTCTCCCTGCTCCCATCCCCTCCCCTCCCCCCTCCCCCTCTCCCCCCCCCCCTACCCGCGCCCCCCACCTCCCCCCCCAGCCTGGCAGCTGTGGAGCCGAGCATCCACGTGGGCGTTCATTCTTCCCCTTCTCTCCCTCCCCTCCCCCACTTCCTCCCCCGCCCTCCCCCCTCGCGCTTCCCCGCCCCCTCCCCATCCCTCCCCCCTTTCCCCCTCCCCCTTCCCGCTCCCCCCTTCCAGCCTGGCAGCTGTGGAGCCGAGCATCCACGTGGGCGTTCATGGGGGGGAAGCTTCCCCCTTTACCCTTTTTCACTTTCCCCCTCCTTTCACCTTCCCTTCTACACCCCCCCGGTCCCCCGCCCCACACCCTTTTCCCCTTCTCCCCCTCCCTTTTCCCCTTCTCCCCCGCCCCTCCCCTTCCTTCCAGCCTGGCAGCTGTGGAGCCGAGAATCCACGTGGGCGTTCATGGAAAAAGAGGTTCATCCCCCTCTTCCCTCCCCCTCCCCGCCCCTGCTCCCCCGCCCCTTCCCCATTCCCCCCCCCTCCCCCTTGCCCCCCACCTCCCCCTCCAGCCTGGCAGCTGTGGAGCCGAGCTGCCACGTGGGCGTTCATGGGGGGGAAGGTTCCTGGAATCGGGGCGAGCGTGGGGGCCAATGTGACGATCCCATGTGGCAGGGCTGTGCTTCTGGACGTGCCACGTGTCAGCCTGGGATTGCTCATCGTGAAGGGTTGGCTCAGGTGCGCAGTGGTTGGTTACTACAGCAGAAGAACAGTTTCATGGCTCCATGTGTATGATGCTAAAGTTCTGTTTATTCTGATAACATTGTAAATTAATGTCTAAGCATTATTAGAAATCTCACGTTGTTGTCCTGTGTGTTATTGTGGCCTCTGCCTTCTCTTTATATATTTTCCCCCGATTGCTGTATGTCTTGTTTGTTTGTTCTTTGTTCTTTCTTCTTTATCCCATCGATCGATGACAGATTGCTGGACAAGCCATTTGTACCCTCTATAAGCGTTCAAGCCCGGTTCATTATAGTGTACGGTCGCCTATCTGTGGGCACAGAGAAGCACCACTTCCGCTCCCAAGCCACCTTCACGCTCATCCCAAACCTCAGGTTCGGCCGAGCCTTGCAGCTCATTTTGCCCACCTTGCCTGCTGGCAATGTTTTTCAAAAAAAGCTAATCATTCTTCTCCCCCTGATTTCCTGTCTTGTGCGGATCTGATTTCATAATTTCTCAGGTTCGGGCGGTCCGAATTCTTGCTTCGGCAGCCAGCTCCGGCCGACCCTGCCCACCCTCGCAGCCTCGGGCACAAGGCGTTTGTGGTGGTGAGTGCACTGCTCCTGCTGCTGGTTCGTGTTTCTTGAGTCTTCTAATAAGTGCGCGATGCACAAATTGATGGATTGTTGCTGGTGTGTGTTTTCATGAGTTTCATTCCACCCCCTCTTCTGTTGCTCTCAGGTGGGCGGTCAGGTGGATTTCCACGGCATGCCAGGTGGCGGCAGCACGCCCGCATGGGTCCGGCTGGCACAACGGGCCAATAAGGGCGCGCGGCAAATCACTGTAGATGCTGACGTCAGCGCGTGGCCCCGAGGGGGCGTGATTGCTCTGGCGAGCACGACACCTGATCTGAATAACGCCGAAAAAGCAATCATTACTGGAGGTGGGTGAGACATCAATTTATGATCGTCCTGGGTTAGCGACCCCAGCTGGGTAAGGGAGCAATCGTCGCTGGGGCGATTGCGGTGTGTAAAGAGGGTATTTTTGAGACGTCTCAAAAATACCCTCTTTACACCTGGAGGTGGGTGAGACATCAATTTATGGAGGCAAGGGATCAATCATCGCTGGGGTGATTGCGGTGGTCAGCAGCATGACACTGGATCTGAAAACGCCGAAATAGCCATTATTACTGGAAGTTATTTTTGGTCCTTCCTCTCCTCTACCCCTTCTAAGGAGATGAGATACGAGGTGCCTGGAGCGTTGCGATCATTACTCGGGGGTGGGTGAGCAATCATTACTGGGAAGGTGGGTGATTGCGGTGGCTCTGTTGTCCTTTCACCTGCTTCACCCCCATCTACTCCCTCCTTCATTTCCCCTTCTGCCCCCCCCCTTAACTCACCCCAGTGAGAAGAATTGGTCCGTCAGTGTCGTCTCCCTCCCTGCACCGCCCTCTGAAACACTCTCACGATGGGGAGAGGAATTATGACTTTTAAAGCCAGGGTCTCATGTACGGGTTGGCCGTGCAACTGCAAAGCACTTGGGCGAAAAGTGGGTTCCTTGGAGAGTCTCGATTTGTCAAAACTTTGGCCCCAAATTTGTAAACCAATCAGACAGGCCCGTTTTTCATCGACTGCAAAGCACTTGGTCTACTTGAGACCCTGGCTTTAAGTCGACTCAAAAGTCACCTCTCTGCACCGCCCTCTGAAGCACTCCCACGACGGGGAGAGGAATGCCGTGCGGGACGGGTTTGAAGTTGCATGCCCAACCCTGCGCTGCTCCTTCTTCTCTTCTCTCCGCCCCTCTCTGTCCCATCGACAGTGAGGAGAGTCGGCCCCTCCAGCAGCATCATCTCTCTGCACCGCCCTCTGAAGCACTCCCACGACGGGGAGAGGAATGCTGTGAGGGACGGGTTTGAAGGCCTTTGCTCACTCACTCTCCCTCCATTATTCCCTCCCTTAATTTCCCGCAGTGAGGAGAACCGGCCCATCCAGCAGTGTGATAACCCTCCACCGCCCTCTGAAGCACTCCCACGACGGGGAGAGGAATGCTGTGCGGGACGGGTTTGGAGGCAGCGTGGACGTTCGGGCGGAGGTGGCGCTGCTGACTCGCAACATTGTGGTTCAAGGGGTGCACGAACAGCCTCCGTACCAATATGACGGTGAGAGAAGAGTGTGATTGAATCGAAGGATGGGTGTAGTGAGGGTTGGGTTGAGTGTGCTGTGCTGAGTGAGTGGGGGCATGGTGGACGTTGGAGCAAAGGTGGCGCTGCTGACGCGCAACGTTGTGATTCAAGGCGTGCACTGCACGAGCAGCCTCCTTACCAGTATGATGGTGAGTAGGAAACAACTGTCCTTCTGCTTCCCGTGTTGACTCTGCTGTAACGAGGGTTGGGTTGAGTGTACTACTGAACTGAGTGGAGGTACCGTGGACGTTGGAGCAAAGGTGGCGCTGCTGAGCTGACGCGCAACGTTGTGATTCAAGGCGTGCACGAGCAGCCTCCTTACCGTACCAATATGAAGGCGAGAGGAAGATATGGTTTAGTTTTGAGGCGCCTCAAAACTAGACTTTGATTCAAGGCGTGCACTGCACGAGCAGCCTCCTTACTGTACCAATATGAAGGCGAGAGGAAGATATGGTTACGGAGATGCCTCGCACGCCCCAGGCCATTCACGGCGTGCAGTTCAAGGGGGTGGGGATTCAAGCAGGCAGTCTGGGGCGATACCCAGTGTTCCTTTCTCTTTGCCAACCAGTGCCCTTCTCCTCTCAGGTGCCCATTTCATGGTCTACATGACTCACACGCCCCAGGCCATTCACGGCGTGCAGTTCAAGGGGGTGGGGATTCAAGCAGGCAGTCTGGGGCGATACCCAGTGTTCCTTTCTCTTTGCCAACCAGTGCCCTTCTCCTCTCAGGTGCCCATTTCATGGTCTACATGCCTCACACGCCCCAGACCATTCACGGCGTGCAGTTCAAGGGGCTGGGGATGCAAGGCAGGCAGCCTGGGGCGATACCCAGTGCACTTGCATGTGTGTGTCTCATACTTCCCCACCCACATCCCCCTTCCTCCCCTCCCTCCTCCCCCAGGCGGGCACTTCATGGTCTACATGACTCGCACGCCCCAGACGATTCACGGCGTGCAGTTCAAGGGGCTCGTTGGGCGAGCAGGGCAGCTTGGGCAATTCCTCCCCCCTTCCCCCCTTCCCCTTCTCACACAGGCGGTCACTTTATGATATACATGACTCGCACGCCCCAGGCGATTCACGGCGTGCAGTTCAAGGGGCTGGGGAACCAGGGCAGCTTGGGAAAGTACCCCCTTCACTTTCACGTGTGTGGAGATGTGAAGCGACGGTTCTTCGTTCGCAAGAACGTGATCCTGGAGTCCAAACAGGTAAGAGGGCGAGCGATTGGGGGGGGGGGGAGCAGAGGAGAGAGGGGCTGGGCAAGCAGGGCAGCAGGTTGGGAAAATACCCCCTTCACTTCCACGTGTGTGGTGACGTGAAGCGACGGTTCCTTGTTCGGAAGAACGTGATTCTGGAGTCAAAGCAGGTGAGTGGGGGAGGGAGAGGGCAAGGGGGGGGGGGGGGGGGGGGGGGGGGAGGGGGGGGGGGGCATTGGGGGTTTTGTACGTATTGCATGGGTAGAGATTGCATGCGTGTTGGGATGGGACCCATGGTTCTTTCTTCGCCATGGTTCTTTCTCCCATGGCTGGGAGCCACAGTTGGAACGGAAATCCCCCCGTCCCTTCTCCTGCAGCGGCGCATAGCATAGTGATACGGCCCTCCCCGGCACTGCTTTGTGCTGGAAGAAGGCAGTGAGTCGAGGAGGCACTGCTTCCTTCCTCCTCACTCCCTTGTTAATGTGTCCCTCTCCCCTCTCCCCTCTCCCCTCTCCCCTCTCCCCTCTCCCCTCTCCCCTCTCCCCTCTCCCCTCTCCCCTCTCCCCTCTCCCCTCTCCCCTCTCCCCTCTCCCCTCTCCCCTCTCCCCTCTCCCCTCTCCCCTCTCCCCTCTCCCCTCTCCCCTCTCCCCTCTTCCCTCTCCCCTCTCCCCTCTCCCCTCTCCCCTCTCACCGTTCCCTTCCCCTGCAGCGATGCATTGTGGTACATGCTACCTCGCGAGTAACTATAGCTGATAACGTGGCGTATGAGACGAGAGGGCACTGCTTTGTCCTGGAGGAGGGCAGTGAGGCGAGGAACACGTTTATCCGCAACCTGGGCATGAGCACTCGCGCTGGTGAGCGTTGTTCTGTGTGTGAGAGGATTGGGGTAAGGGGGTTGAGAGAATGGAACAGAGGGAGGCAAGGAGGGCAGTGAGGCAAGGAACACGTTCATCCGCAACCTGGGCATGAGCACACGCGCTGGTGGGTGCTGCTGTGTGGTGCGTGCGTGCGTGCGTGGTGCGTGCGTGCGTGCGTGCGTGCGTGCGTGCGTGCGTGCGTGCTGTCACCGAATATGCACGGTTGTGCATATAAGGTGCCAGTTTTGCTGCGGTGTAGTTTCAAGTGTAATATGACTGTATGTGAAGATCTGGGGTGTAGGTAGTTGGGGACCAGGGAGAGTGTCGCGAAGTTGGTAGGAGAGTTCCGAGGAGTGCAATCCAATGAACCAATGTGGATGCACCAACCCAGGCTTGAAGCGCACATTGAGAAATGCACGCTTCGAGCCTAGGCCAGGTAAATCCACTCTCACACACACACTCGTTGCTTTCCGTTTGTTATCCTTTCGTATTGTGGATCATTGTTACCTTCATCTTACAGCTAGGTGACACACCACTCAGGGAGGACCCTTGGGGTGGGAGCTCTGTCTCTTTCATAACAAACGTTAAGGAGTGTGCGCGTGTGCAAGGATGGACGGGTATGAGCTGCGTTATGGCAGGACGTATGGTCGTCGCGAGGAGGATCGCGCATGGCGCGGACACTCGCGTGAGCGTGGGCGATCGCCGGAGAGGTCGCCGCGGAGGCCTGCCTTTCGCGCAGATCAGGTGCCTCTCGTGCCCGAGCGCCGAGCGGGCGGATCCGCACGAACAGGAGCAGGCGGATCGGGATCGGCCCTGGCAGGAAGTGATCCGTGGCGGTCGGAACCGCGCCACGGAGCAGGTGGCGATCTGGGGTATCGCCAGGAGACGGGAGCGTATCGCTCGCCGGAGGCAAGCTACCGCCGTCGCGAAGATCGGAGTCGCGGGCGAGGCTGGGAGGAATTGTTTTCGGGCCGAGAGGGTGACCTCAACGCTGAAGGAGAAGGAGTGGACGAGAGCACGGACTCGTCGCAGGGATCTGAGCGTGACGACGTGGCTGATGTCGGCGGCGGAGCCCAGGAGGAGGGCGCAGGCGAGCAGCGCGACATGCCCGCGGAAGCAACGGAGGCAAATCCCGCTAAGGCAGGCGAGGCGGAAGAGACTGGCGGAACGGGCAGCGTACGAAGCGCGCGCAAGGAAGCGCCCGTTCCTGGACAGCAGGCGCAAGGCGGGGAACAGGGCAGCGGCGCAGCGCGCGCACCAGATCCGCGCCCGCAGAATGACGGAAAGCGGGGAAGCAGTCCGAGCGCGCCAGATCTGCGCCCGCATCATGACGAAAGGCGGGGAGGCGGGTCGCGTTCGCCTGAGCCACGTCAGCAACGTGACGGGAGACGGGGAAGCGGGTCGTGTTCGCCGGAACTGGGGAGGTATCACAGCGGGAGACGGGAAGGCGGATCGCGTTCGCCAGATCCGTGGAGGAATCGCAGCGGGAGGCGGGGAGGCGGGTCGCGCTCGCCAGATCCGTGGAGGAATCGCAGCGGGAGGCGGGGAGGCGAGTCGCGCTCGCCGGATCCGTGTCAGCAGCATCGCGGAGCGCGGGGAAACGGGTCACGTTTGCCGGATCGGCGCCAGCGCCATGAGGGAAGGCATGGAGGCGAGTCGCGTTCGCCAGATTCGTATCGCCACCAGGACGGGAGGCGGGGAAGTGGGCCACGCTCGCCGGATCTGCGCAAACATCATGAGAGGAAGTGGGGAGGCGAGTCAAGTTCTCCAGATCGGCACCAAGAACGGGGTGTGAGTTGGGGAAGCGAGCATCGCTCGCTGGATCAGCGTCCGCAGCGTGAAGAGAGATATGGAGGCGGGCACCGCTCGCCAGAACGTGATCTGCAGCAAGGACAGAGAGGGAGATGGGAGGAGGAGTGGCGTCACCGAGACAATCGTTATGGGCAGGAGGGAAGGAGAGCTCCACGATCCCCGACACCTGAGAAGCGCTGGCAGCGCCAAGGGCGAAGAGAAGATTGGGCGCAGGCGAGTTACTCACCAGATCGGCGAGGGAGGAGGGATGAGGAGGAAATGCGCTGGGAAGCAAGGCAGGATCAGCACAGAAGCAAAGGTGTAGGCAGCGGTCTGGCATCCAGCATGGAGCGCGCCAGAGAAGCAAGGAAGGGGATCGAGCGGGCTAGAGGAGGAGGAACGTCAGGAAGGCAGGAAAGGGGAGCAAGTGAGTCATGGGGCGAGGGGCGTGGAAGTGCAGCGATGGCCACACGTGTGGAAGTGCCGGCGCGGTTCTCAGGAGACCAGCGCGTGGGGCCTACACTGAAGAACTACTTGATGCAAGTGGGGAATGTGAGATATAGATGTGAGCGGAGCGGCATGGATGCGGTGGATTTCTTCTTAAGTCTGCCAAATACATTGGAAGGGGAGGCGGAGACACTGTACAGAATGAGGATGGATGAATTGCTTGAGAGGGCGGGCAGGTACGGGGAAGACCCCACAGAGGCATTTCTGAAGCGGCTGCAGCGACAGTTTCCAGGGCATACTGCAGAAAAGATAAGGGAATTTCAGGAGTTCCGGAGAGGGAGGAGTGAGTCGTTGCTCACCTATTACAACCGGCTGATCAACTTGGCGGAGGATGTGACATGTGGGGACATGGGCCTCTTGGTCAGCAAGTTCTTGGACGGGCTGGACAACACCATGGGAAACGGGCTGCGCATGAAGGTGTATGAGATGGGGGCAGACACAACGCTGGATGAGGTATTCGAGTTGGCAGAGAAGATGGAGCTAGCACAAAGAAAATATGAGGCATATCGGCCCAGGAACATGGAGCGAAGCCGTGGGCCGACTTGGGCAGCAGCGATCATACCTGAAGAAAGGGAGAAGGCAGTGGGTGGAGGAGAGGGCAGGCCAGAGACACGGACTTGCCACAGATGCGGACAGCCGGGACACATTCGCAAGGACTGCAAAAACTGTGACAGTTGCGGGAAACCAGGGCATCGGCGACGGGAATGCCCTGAAGCACCGAAGTGTGAAATCTGTGGAAGAGGAGGACATGCGGCAAAAGACTGCTACCAGCGAGAGGGAGCAGCGAAAAAGAAGCTGGAGGAACAGGAGAAGCAGATCAGCCGGCTGCAAGCGCAGCTGCAGGCACTGGGACCGCGACGCGAAGCAGAGGCAGGGATGTATGCCAGGGATGAGGAGGAAGAAGATGTAGCACAGGAAGAGCAGGGAGCACTCATGGCGTGGGGAATGAGGGAGGATGATGAGGTGGAACATGAGGAGCAACCTGCATACATGGCATGGAGAGGGAGAGAAGAGATGGGGCTGCGCAGTGGAGGCAAGGATGGGCGAAGGGAACAGGTGAGGAAGGAGCGGGAAAGGGGGCAGAAGCCGGAAGAGAAGGAAGAGCGATGCACTGCTGCACGTCACCCGCAGGAGCGGCTGGCGTGTCAAACATCAGTGTTGCTGATCCAAAATGGAGCACTAACGGTGGAAGGGGAGAAAGCAAAGACAGCTATCATAGACACCGGAGCACAGAGTGTCATACTCGGGAAGGGGATGGCCGAGAAGCTGGGATTGTGGGCACCGGACAGACATGTGATGAAGGGGATGCTAGTGATGACGGCAGAGGGAGGAGAGTCAAAATGGATGCCCTGCACGAGGACTCCCATAGAACTGACGGTGCTGAAAGGGGAGAAACACGAGACGCCAGTCAGAATCAGGTGTGGAATTTCAGAGTCGGAAGATTTTGATGTGCTGGTGGGCACGGAGATGATTTTTGCATTGGGCATGACCATCTGCTTTTGGAAAGAAACAGTGGAGTTCCGAACGAGGTGGTGGAGGAAGGGTGAACTGCTAGGGCAGCTGCCGGTGCAGTTTGTGAAGACAGAGCCAAAGAGGGCCTATCGTGCAGATCAGAAGGAGGTGACGGCGAAGCAGGGGGCACAAGAGGGAGTGGCTGGTAAAGGGACGGGCAGGGATGAGCCTAGGATGCGCCTCAGGGATGAGCCTAGGATGCGCCTCAGGGATGAGCCTAGGATGCGCCTCAGGGATGAGCCTAGGATGCGCCTCAGGGATGAGCCTAGGATGCGCCTCAGGGATGAGCCTAGGATGCGCCTCAGGGATGAGCCTAGGATGCGCCTCAGGGATGAGCCTAGGATGCGCCTCAGGGATGAGCCTAGCCAACAGACTGACTGGCAGCAACCCATCCGGCTGGTGGAACTGTTCGGGGGAATAGGGGCGGGACTGGCAGCAGTGGTGCGGAATAGAATAGCAGTGAAACAGTGGATTTACGTGGAGCAGGCAGCAGAGGTGAGAAAAATAGCGGAGCATCATGCATGGGAGCTGCATAGAGAGTTCCCGGAGCTGCTGAGGGGAGACGTGATCAAGGCAGCGATGAGCCGAGGAGTGAACGATGTAAAAGCAATCACGGAAGCTGAAGTGGCAAGCTGAGGGCATGTAGACCTGCTGGTGGCAGGGTGGGAGTGCCAAGGGGTATCATGGGCAGGAAAGGGCAAGGGTGAGCTAGACCCCAGGACCAAACTGATGGAGGAATTGTTCAAGATTATGGAGTGGGTGCAGGCTAGGCAGGGCAGACTGGCCTACCTGCTGGAACACTTGGACATGGAAGGAGATGTCCGGGAACCAGTGAGGTTGGTAAGGGAGAAAGTGGCAAGGCAGGTGGGCAAAGGGGTGAGCAGCGACGCGGTGCGAATGGGAGCTTACGCACACCGGCTTAGGATGTACTGGCAGAATGTGGTGCCAGTGGAAGATCTGCAGAGGGAGATAGAGGGAGTGCAGAGGGCAGAGGGGCGCAAGGTGAGCGACATACTGGAGCCAGGAAGAACTCCAGCACCAGTAAGCAAAAGGAGCTACAGCAGACACTACCCGTGCAACCAGGTGGGACAGGAGAGGCAGGCATTACCCACCTTGGTGTCCTATGAGGGGGCAGCAGGATATCGGATGGATGGAGAGCAGCCGGGCCCAGGACTTGTACTTGACCA